AATATAGCATAACTACCACACAAAACCCACCTATTTTGGATTTTTTGTAAGCAGATTGAAAGTAAAGAGAACTTGCCACAGTGGTGATAATAAATGATTAATCAAAAAATTCGAATACTCAGAGTAGACAGACCAATATGCATTGAAGTCAAAGTGGGTTGAAGGTGCCTATCAGCCAGTATGAATATTAACTTCAGTATAAAACATGAGCGACTCCCTTGATTAAGATTCCTGACCATAAGGAATCAAAAATCATAATGAGTTAAGTAATAATAAAAGGGAAACGTTCAGTTAAAAGTCTTGATGAAGGACATGAGAATCATCTAACTAATCTCCCAATTATTGAAGGTGATACATTACAAACTTATTGAGTAGCATAAAGTGTTTATTACAGTCAAACATATTCAGTATTAGACTTAAGCTTCAAGTACCGTTTTACGTGTACCTTATCATAACACTGTTTCAACTTGATGTTGATAGATGCAGACTACTACCCGACCGAAGCTGCTACGTTGACGCGGTGTTCGGGCTTGTTTATCGTGATGACCCAACCGAGCTATATTGGCTGGAACATATGTTCCTGTAGGTTCTACCATGCCAGGCAGGTCGATTGGTGAACGGTAAGACTAAAAGCAGCAACTCAAGGTCTGGGGGCAAAGTCGTACTGCTGACTGCAGAGGGGTGTGACAGCAGTAAGGTGTTTCCCTCAGACAACCAGCATCTACAGTGATGCTGCCTTCCCACAAGGAGGGGTGGGGTTAGAAAAGGTCGACCCTAAAAATGTCACACCTCACGGATTTCCGTCTCCGGAGGTAAGGCCCTTTGAAGAACGGAGCTAACACGTTGAAAACTCTCACAAAAAGAATGTGCGTGACCAGCCTCAAGCAGTTGTCCCTTGGGCTCTGCGGTCACGCTCCCAGGTCGTCAAGACCAACACTAATCCGATTTCCTTTTCATGTTCCTCAAGAAATATACTTCCACGGTGTGGGCAGCCGGGAAGTGACATCAGCCCTCGTACCCGTAACAGCACACGAGACCAAGTTGGTCACATTCAAATCCTTCCTACACCTCCTAATACCTCTCTTATCTCCATGACTAACCCTCCTCACGTCTCTTTATCACCTCGCACCGCTAGAGCAAACGATTCGAGTACGTGGAACGCTATTCCTGGTCTCCTGAAACCACGCTCTAAACTACACGTAGGAGCTTTTAACGTACGAACACTGCCAAATAGGATAGCAGGCTTCCTTAGCTAGGACTTTAGAATCTCGCACCATCGATGTGTGCTGCGTCTCCGAAACGCGCATACAGGATCCAAGTAGCCTCATTCATTTGACCTCACTATGCCAAAATAAAGAATCGACTAGATTCACACTTCGTGTATCTGGAGGCCCAGATTCCACTTCTCGTGGCCTCGCCGGCGTAGGTATAGCATTGAGTCCTAGGGCAGAACTAACTCTCTTAGAGTGAATCCCAGCAGACAGTCGTTTGTGCGCTGTCCGACTGAACGGAACAGTAAGAATCCGAAAAGATAGGGACACTCGTCGTTGTCTCTCCGTCGTCTCTGCCTATTCTCCCGCTGACTGCAGCTCAGATGATGTAAAAGATGAGTTTTACAGTAAGCTTTCCGACCTTCTCCGAAAAACTAAGCGCTCGGATGTAGTAATAGTGGCCGTTGACTTTAATGCTCAAGTAGGTAAACTAAGCGATTGGGAAAGACACCTAGGTGGATCTTATGGTGTCGTGGCTCAAAGAACAGATAATGGCGACCGTCTGTTGCAGCTATGCTCAGATAACCGCCTGTTCCTTGCAAATACTAACTTTAAGCATAAGGAAAAACATCTTTTAACATGGCGACCCCCTAATTCGTCGCAACGTTGGACCCCAATAGATCACATCGCTATCAGCCACCGATGGAGGGGCTCGATAGAGGACTGTCGCTCATTCTGTGGCACATGCTTAGATTCAGATCATGCTCTAGTGCGAGCGCGTATTTGCTTGCGTCTTACTGGACGTAAGAAAGACGCTAGAAGTAAAACGTCTAGGGCCCTACTTAATGGTAGTCAAGCTAAGAGTATATTTCAGGAACAACTAGGAAAACAGTTAGGCAGCCATGTATGGGATGCCCACCCCGATGCAGCATGGAATGATATCCGAAAAGCTGTGGAAACAGCAGTGATATCTGCTAGTAAGGTAAACCAGAAGGTAAGGGGCAACCTTGAATCTCAGCAGCATCTATCTCACTGATAGATGCTCGGAAACTCATTCCACCTGGCTCTGAACATAATGAAGAGCGGAGTCAGCTTAAGCGCAAGCTGACAAGTTTACGCAATGACCGTGAACAGTGGTGGGTGGCGAAAGCAAGAGAGATGGAAAAGGCAGCGGCAATAGGTAACAGCAGACAATTGTTCAGACTTGTTAAGGAAACCGGAATTAGGAACCCGATTGTTAGCGAAACAATCTCAGAGAAAGATGGACATATTATAAATTCTCAATCCAGGAGATTGGATCGATGGGCAGAACACTTTAGGGATCAGTTCAACTGGACTTCAGCCACATTTCGATTTCCCACGATCTTCAGTCGACCTGAATGGCAATTTAATGTAGGTCGGAAGCGTGGGAGAGCAGCAGGCCCTGACAGGTTTACTCCTGAGATTTTTGAGGATGGTGGTTCAGTATTAGCAGTGTGATTAACTGAGGTCTTAGGTAGAATTTGGGAACTGGACGTAATTCCATCTGACTGGTCTCAATCACTGATTGTGCCAGTCTATAAGAAAGGACAAAAGTCCTCTTGTGACAATCACAGAGGAATCAGTTTGATTAATATAGTGTCTAAAATATTAGCTTCAATAATATTTCGACGCCTAACCAAAGATCGTGAAGAGCAGACTAGAGAAAATCAGGCTGGTTTTCGACCTGGACGTGGTTGTATAGATCAGATATTCACACTACGTCAGGTCCTAGAACACAGACACACATTCAGACGCCCCACAATCGTAGAATTTCTCGGCCTTAAGGCGGCAATCGACTCTGTTGATCGTAAGGTTCTATGGCAGTGTTTGTCACTGAAAGGAGTACCAAAGAGGTACATTAACCTTATAAAGGCTCTCTACTCGAACACAACTGGTAGAGTAAGAGCTTATGGCGAACTGTCATCAGAATTGATTACCTCAAGTGGTGTTCGTCAGGGCTGTCCACTCTCTCCATTCTTGTTTAACTTTGTCTTCGACGTACTTTTAGGAATATCACTTTCCTTATCTGTCTTTCCAGAGGTTGAACGTCTACCAACAGATTCCTGTGCTGACTTAGAATATACCGATGACGTAGTTCTATTTGGTGAAGACGCTGACAAAATGCAGTCTTCTGACCACTCTAAGCAACAACGCAAGCATGTTCGGCATGCGATTCTCTCCCTCGAAATGCAAAATGTTGCTTCAGGATTGGGTTGCATCGACACCTGAACTAATGATAGGGAGTGAAGTAGTTGAGCGTGTCGACTGCTTCACTTATCTTGGGAGTCTCATCAATTCCGGTGTGTGACGAAATCTCAGCACGGATACAGAAGGCTCGACTAGCTTTTGCCAACTTGCGTCATTTATGGCGTAGGCGAGATATCCGTCTATCAACCAAAGGACGTGTTTACTGCGCAGCAGTTCGTTCCGTCCTACTTTATGGCAGTGAAACATGGCCGGTAAGAGTAGAGGATATTCGTAGGTTACTAGTATTCGATCATAGGTGTCTTCGAAATATTGCTCGTATATCGTGGAACCATCGAGTAAGTAATGCAGTTGTTAGGAAACGGGTACTAGGTAAGGATGGCAAATCAATTGATGAAGTAGTGAAACTTCATCAGTTGAGATGGCTGGGACACGTGTTACGTATGCCCAACGACCGACTGCCTCGACGTGCGATGTTTTCTAGTGTAGGAGTAGGTTGGAAGAAAGCTAGTGGCGGCCAGACCAAAACATGGCACAAGTCCATGAAGTCACTGAAAAGTGGACTGAGTCATGTTGGTAGGTGTAGACTACCTGGTTGGGGACCACGAGACGACAACAACCGATGGTTAGAGACCCTGAATGACATGGCTGAAAATCGTTCGCAATGGCGCAGGTGCATCCACTCTCTGTGTTCTCCCAAACTCTAATCTTCTGAATTCTTCATGTCCCTTTTTCCCTCTTCCCAAATTTATTTCACTGGATTATACTCCTTGAATAACATCTCCAAACCCTAATCTTCCCGATTACTGTTTATACTCTTATTACCTCTACCACAACGGGATTTGAATCGACAGCTGAATATCTGTGCTAATGTGGTGTGGCAACTCGAACTGATGTACGTACGTACGAAGTTCTACGTTGTTACTGACTGAATGACAGACTACTTGGTTGAGGTCCGCGTGACTATCGTAACCATTGGTTGGAGACTCTGAGCGACATGGCTCAGAATCGATCACAATGGCGTAGGTGTATACATTCTGTCTACCCTTCAATCGCAAGATTAAAAATACCTCATACATTTCTTTCTGCGAACTAAACCTTTCTTCCTGTACTATATCATTATATACAATCTTTCTTTTATATATTACCACCAATGAATTAATTACTTCTATGAATTCGGTGTTAATCTTGTTGTGCTAATGAGGTATGGCAACTTGAACCGATGCACATATACGTCTGGTCGTACGTTGTAGCTGACTGACTGATAGATAACTTCAAATTAGGTACGGTCCAAAATGAAACGCGGGTAGAATACTGTCAGTCATAATACGGAAATGTTCATATCTAGAGTCTACAGTTAACTAGAATCCAACCTACCACATTTTCTTCATCAAGTTTAAATAGAAGAACCACTTCTTACAATGTGCTCCTCTATAGATTAGAGGTAATCACAGGATAAACTGTAAATAAATCAGCTATATTCTAAACAATAAACCATAAATAAATATAATTCTTATCGCATAAAACTAACCAAATCCTCTCATGAAAGTAGACTACAAGATAGAAGATAAATAATTTTTTTATATTTTATAAATAAATAACTTTAAATTACTAAATGATGAATTTCTATTTTTAAAAAGAATGGTGTCCAACGTTTCAAAAGAGCGTTTCAATTTAAATATTACAACATTATAACAAAACTTTATAGTTGACCAACATAATACAAATGATTATTTGAAAAATCCTATTCATTATACAAGAAACTTTATTTAAAATGAAAATAACACTACTAACTAATAATATGAAAAAAACTACGAAACCTAATTGTAAATTATTCATCAAAAAAAAACAACAAAAAAACAAACGAGGTGATGTAATATAACCACAATTGGGAATATCAAAAACAAAAAAAGGAGGAAAAACATCGTTTATTTTTATTCTTTAGCAGAAACTGTTTGAATTTTGTTTTTCTCTGCTTCGAATGGCTGCCATATTGGGGGGGGGGGGAAATACATTTATTGAGTCACTTATATTGGGGTGCGTATTTAAATATAAAAACAAAAACAAACATTTCCTTTAAAAAAGACAATAGATAATTTCCTTAAATAAATATATCTTAATAACAAATTTTCAATTATAGAATTAGTAATAATACAAGAGAAAACGATACTAAACAGTTAGAAAATTCCTAGGATGATATATATATATATGCTTTAAGTTATTTGAGATTAGTACAGATTTTAAATTCCTAAAAAGTGTACATGACTCTAGTAAAATTTAAATAAATAAACAAACAACAACATACATCCATTTAGAAAACGAAGGAGAAGAAGAAAAAAAAAGTAAACTTGGAAATTGAACATCAACTATAAATAAGAATAAAACAATATAACAAAAAAAAAACCTTGTCCGTACTGAATTATTATTCAATGAGTTAAACTTGTTTTACAATCATTGGATAGACTAACTGAATTTGAATTAGTTGCTACGATTATTGATGGCTCAAATGTATTTAATTCATTAGAGAGAATTTCATTAGATGTAATAATTGTTTGATTTGTTGAAGATGGAATATTATGATTATGTATTTCCGAAATTGTTGGTGATGTCAATATCATAAAAGCTAGTAGTAGAGAATGAAGAGAATGAAATATAATCATGAGTCATAAATCATAATAAATAAATAAATAAATAAATAAGTTACGACTATAACATCAATTCCTATATCCTGTTGACTATTTAGTCAACAATAAAATTATCTTAAATCAAACTTCAAAAACGTAGTGGCAAAAAAAAAAACAATATACAAGTATAAGTAATTTATATTATGACAGAGAAACGATGGTAAACATTTAATGTACATCAGATGATTTCAATAGATTGATTGTTTTCTAAAGTTGAAAATGTTATCTGTCTACAGTATGGTGGTAAATGAAATTTCGTTTGGATTCAAGAAGGACAATTAAATTTCACATCAAAGTGTTATATGAATTACGGATATGATTTTGATGAAAATTTAAAAGTCGATTACATATCATTTTAATGACAATTGATTGTCCTAAGAAAAAATAACAATCAACACTTAAAACGGCGTTAGAATTCAGAAACTAAGCTAAGAGTGAATATCTTAATCTGAGTGATTGAGTAGATTACAACAGATATAAGATTTTAAAATGAGTAGAATACAACTATATACTTAAGAGGAATTAACATATATTCATTTCCTTGTCTTTATATATACTAAGCTGAATTTTCGCAATCTTATAAGTCATATAAATAAATACAAACATAAAATCCCTTAAAAACAATTACAAGAAACTTGATTTCAAAATGAATTACAACTTTTTGTCAAAACGCAATCAAAAGACGAATAAGTGTATGATAATAAGATCATCTGAATAACCACTGTAAAACGCTGTGAGAAAAACGATCAAATAATTTTCCACAGATGGTAGTGTACCCAACAATTTGTATACTTCTCCGTAGGAATTACGAGCAATGAAATCCTTGTAGAATTTTTATAGTTTATTAACATTACTGATAAGAAATTAACAATTTATCGAATTATCTTACCAGTACGTGTTTCCTGACATTGGGTCTGCCTTCTGTTCGCTGGACAGGACTGTTCTCTGGGATTATCTGTTGGACAAGCGTATATCTGAGGAGTGTATCAACATCGTGAAGACCCTACATACAACAACTAAGGAAGAGTGAGGGCGTACAACCACCGCACTCCATTGTTTCAAGCAGTGTGATTACACAAGATTGCCCAATCTCACCATTTGTCTCCAAATATGCCATTGACGACTTTCGGGAAACAGCCTAATGGATGTAGGTAATGGTGGTGTACATTTTACTTAGAGAAAAACTTTCCGACCTACTGTATGCGGACGATATTGTCTTACTGTGTGATGTACCCAAGCCATGGAATTCGCACTTAATCAGTTGGCAGTGTATGTAGGTACGGGGCATGTACCTTGGACCTTCTAAGTGAAAAATACTTTTACAAGACTAGAAGAACCCCGAAATCTGTATTCACTCTTGGTAGTCAGTAGTTAAAAATAGTCTTATCTGAGTAGCTGTGTAAGTGCTGATGGTGGCGTGAATGATGATATCAATTCACGTATAGTGAAACTTAGAGTGGCTTCTGGCGCTCTGACCCATCTACGAATCCTTCTTAATATTGATCCCGTTGTAAAAGGTCAGATCTATAGTACGTCGGTGAGATCAGTTTTGCTCTATGCTTGTGAAACCTGCCCTCGGAGTTGTGGATGTTAAACGACTCTCTCTATTTGATTATCATTCATATATTATTTCTCAACGATGATCAATTATTCTTGTAAAATGACCAACATGATTACTTATATTTCACCGGCGCAGTATGATTTTGTAAGATTCAACACATGATCACAATAGCATATTGTAAAACTTTGAACTATCTGGCTTAGACTCAAGTTAAGAATTCCTTCGTATCTAATATAATATGAATAGAATTATTAGTGCCTTACATTCTCTGTAAAAATAGCAAACCAAGGAATATAAATATGTATTCATGAATGCAGTCAACCACAGTGCAACGTTAGAATCTGAAACATTTTTAAACAACATAAGAAGCGATTTTGATGCATTTAGGTGAATTACATAGTACAATTACGTCAAACACTACAATCTGAAAGTGTATCAACTTACATAAAGGGTTACTTTGTGATTGTATAGAAGCTTGATCACTGGAATATGATGATTTAGTTGAATTATTAGATGCTGTTGTAGGTTGCACGTTATTCGAATTCGTAGGACAGAAATTATGACAACTAGTTAATGTGTCTAATTTCGAAATGCAATTGACCAATGAACCAGAATTTAACGGAGGTATCGGTAATTTACTTGAAGATGATGATTGAGCAGATGTAACAACTTTGCTGTTTTTTTTGCTTTGACCAGAATTCTTAGGCAACACAGGACATGAAGGCATAGCTGAACTAGTACTTTTTGATGACTGAGGTTGTCGAGCAGCTATCGCTGAACTTAAACGAGCGCTTAGTTCCTGCTATAGAACGAAAATAGAAATAAAACGAAAGAATTGGTAGGAAAGCACAATATCTCAATGATATGTTATAGTTCGTGATTATAAACAAAATAAGCCTTAGTAATAGTGGAGAATTTAAAGTGTAGTTGTTAAACATTAGTGATATACTCAGTAGTATTACATCATGTTTAAGGTTGATATGCAACTGAGCGTAAATGTGATAATGAGAAGTGTATGAAAGTTTACTTTGAAGGCAGTAAAAAAACTTAAGGCATAAATAATCTATAACTAAAGATATGATTAACAACAAAATCAAGCACATATCTATACATATAAAAATTTTCTTCAGTATTTAATTAAACGTAAATGCCTAACATACTACATCTGAGAGAAATACAAATTAATGGAGTAATTTGACAGTAGTCTAATGTATGACTCAGTCAGCTACAATGCAGGACCAGGCTCATACATGCATCGGTCCAAGTTGCCACACCTCATTAGCACAGCAAGACGAACACCGGATTCGTAGAAGCAGTTCACTCAATGGTGTAATATATAAAGGCCTCGGGCAATGAAGGTGGTTACTTCGCCATAAACCCAATTCACAGTATTTATGACTACAAACATGTAAATAAAGTATAACTATGCATTAATTCTTAACTAAAATAATTATTATGAGGTTGATTGTTTTAAAATGATAAGTGAACTGATTAGACTGTGATATATATTTCAAATTACAGGTTACAGTTTAACATTAACTTTAAAAAACAAACTAAAATTATTAATTTTTAAATAGCCTTATTTATTTATTTGAACACATAAATATTGGTACAAAGGGGCACCAGATACATATGAGCCACACATGTCACTTGATTTGTGTGTGGGTTACGATACTCCCCGGGTGCTCAAACCGAAACAGGTGATTTTCCTAGGGGGGTACACCTAGAGCCTTCGACATAAAGGTCTAATCCACAAAGCAGTGAAGAAACGTAAGAAGATGCAGTTCCATGTTAGCTGGTGACCAACAATTGGTTTATATGCCTTTGTTGCTTCAGGATACTGGAGCCCATGTGCACCACTGATTTGGAATCAAGATTTTCCAACTCTCCTAGGTGGATCCTCCGTGTCCACCAACCCGGTTAAAGCGTCGGAAATTCGCTTTTTGTCCTCGATTTCGTAAACAACACCCTCGCCACGAGAAGACAGTAAGACTTCCCTGTGAGTGGGTGTATACGTGTGGTCATATGAGAGCATTTCGAGAGGGAGAGCTTACTCTCCCCACTCTCGGTCGTACCAGGGCACGTTAAACTCAACACAACCAATAATTTACACGAATCAATTAATCGTAGATTAGAAGATTTACGTATGAATAATTTTAATTAGTTTATTTCACAAACTGATTAAAACCCAATTCACTTTAAAAACAGATTGATTAACCTAAATTGAAACAACAAAGAAAAGGATCAAGAACAAACATGCACGTTTCTTAAAATCAATGGCAATACGACAAAGACTGGAAGAAATTCAATATATGACTAGAGAATGTAAACAAAAAGATAGGAATGTACAAAAAAACAGTAATTGTGATTAGTTCTGGATTGATAAGTTTATTTAAGTAAACCTTTACTAAATCACGATGGAGTAGGTTTATAGGAGATATAAGATCATCAGTCGATTAACTGGGTATGAAAATATATGTTACAGGTAATTGAAGGTAGGATTTACGTGATAAATATTTAAGCAATATAGTATCACTGAGTTAATTTATTTGACAACTAGTGAGGGGATAAACTGACCACACATCTACTGGTTTAGACATTCCTATACACATGAAAAATATAGATGATAAGGAAAAACAGTATACATCACACTAAACTGGATAATAAATTAATATTACTAGAGTAGATTTAGTGTAATTACAAATTGTTTTTGAAAAAAACAACAACAACAGGAGTCTGAATTTTCACAACCGATTTATCATTGAATGGTGATCAATGTCATGTGTGTCAAGTCCTTATTAGTGCAAATCGAATGCTATCGACCAAGTTGCAATGTGGCCACCAGTCTAGTTGACTCGACACTGCGTGCACTATATTGAAATTAGATGGTGGTTGGAAATAGTCGACAGAAAACCCTGGACCCGGGTTTAGTGCTACTTGGCACTCGTCAGCAAGGTTTACCTGTAATCTTGAGGGAACTGGTGCTCCCTGACGGATTCGATCCCGTGTCATCCAGCTTCACAATCAGAGACGTTACCACTGAGCTATCCGGGCCGCGACCGACTTAGTGTAATTACAAATTGTTTTTGAAAAAAAGAACAACAGGAGTCTGAAATTTCATATGCGTCAGGGGTTTAGTACTGATAAAGTTTTATTCTCTCATTACATTAACTAAATTTATCAAATGAACTAACTGTTTTAAACAAATAATGTATGTCATAATGTATGTAACTAATAATTTTCCACTTATGAATACCGGTAATAACAAAAATGACTAATACGATCTATATTATCATGATATTAATAATATTACTAAAAGATATATTGTAAAACAAGGAAAATTACTGAAAATTTCTACAATCTGGAAAACATTTTTTACAGTAAAAGAATTCAACTAATCTATGATTAATTGATTTATACAGAAACCTAATGGATAAAAATCATTCAACTTTCAATCAGTGAATCACATGTTTGCATATACTGTCAGTAATTATAGCTCAATAATGAGTAAATACACTTTTTGGATAGCAAAGGACTATCATTATTATTATTACTATAATTAATTGAAATTATGAATCAATCAATGTTAGACAACCATTGAAAACCTGGAAGCACTAAATGGACGTTTCGTCCTAGTATGGAACTATTTAGCAGTGAGCAGTGGACAAAGAATGTAAATGATAATATGAAGCGATTAAAATTTACTTATTACTCAATCATTAGATACTCACCAAATCATTATGATCAACACTTTTAGTAAAATATGTAGGATTTGTTGACGGTAACGTAGAAGAAGAACATGAACTGGATAGATAGTCAAAGGTTGATCTAGTTTGATTATTATTATTATTATTATTATTATTATTATTATTATTATTATTATTATTATTATTATGTGGAGTGAAAGAATCATTTAGAAATGTATTCGGTTGATGTTTTATTAGATTTGAATAGCTTAAATGTGATTCATGTGAGGACTTCGAATAATCTAATGATGTACAAAATACTGGTTGAGTATGATTTAAACAATTGGTTGAGTGAATTTTATCAAATGATCCTAGATTATCCATAAGATTTGTTGAATCATGTTTTAAATTTAAATTGGAACAAGTTGTAGTATAGTCTTTCGGTAGAATTGGAACTTTTCTATTTCCATTAGTTGAATATTTTGCAAAAGATGGATCATTGTAATTGTTGACCAATGTGACAGATTGATTCGAAGAATCTTGAGTAAAAATAGATTACAGTCAGAATAAATACAAAATGTAATTACATGTTAAAGCAATGTACAAACACGTAAAATACTGATTATTAACACAACAATCAAAATAATAATATTTAATATTATCAGAATGGCAAACAATTATGTAAAAATCAGTCCTAGTTTACTGCTACAGGCAGTTGTCAGGGTGTGTGGTGAGCTTGTTGAAATTATTATTAATACGGTTGTAGATAAACATTCAAAATCTTTCGAACTTCCGGCGGGTGATATCTTATTAGATACCAATCATATATTTCATATATATATTTCTCCTTGTATATTTTCTGGTAAAACGAGATGTCAATATTTTAGAATCCATGCACACAATCTAAGATATAAAGGCTCTACAATGACTTATTTAGTAAATATCATATGTGACAAACAGATTATTAGGTCTGACCTAGTCAACAACTCGTATTCTTAAGCACGTTTCTAAACAAAAGTTGCATAGACCCAAATCACCTTTTGAAAAAAAACATTTCATTTAATTCCAGGTAGTCTATCTATTTAACTTATCTGATTAACTTTTATATATGTGTATACAGTTATCAGTTTCCTTCACTTTTTTTGTACAAAAAAACTTATTGAAATACTTAGTGCTGAGAATTCTATATTCTACCAAAAATATAATATTGAATAAAGCCATTAATAATAATAATAATAATAATAATAATAATAATAATAATAATAATAATAATAATAATAATAATAATAATAATAATAATAATGATTTGATTAAACCATGTTATTATTAGATGAACTACTTATCACTACCATTTTCGACTCAAACAAAATGAACGAAAAAATAAGATTATCTCAAACTGACAGAAATTATGAATTCAACAATATACATACTACTAACAAATATCAAATAACTAACTTTTAGTGACATTGTCGGATAACTGAAGTTGATGAGATTCCTGATCAATAGAATGTAAGATTGTAGATATATGTGAACTCTGTGTAGTGGTCGTTATATTAGAAGTAATGGCAGTATTAGTATCCAAAGGATGGGCGAAATGGTGATTTGACTTTTTTGTAAGATTATTGACTCCAGTAGAATTTTGTTCGGAAATTTCATGTTTTGGAGAGTTCATTACCATTGTAGATTCCATTGTAGCAAGTGAATCAGACAAACGAGCATTCACAGATTTCAAATGCTCATGTCTTGTTGTAAGACGAATTAATTTAGCTTCAAGAATATCATTTTCACATTTTAATTGATGCAAACAATCCAGTAACGTAACAACTAAAGTTTATGTATAATATACAGAATACAGGAATTACAGGCTTCTACAAAAACAGTAATGATAAATCAACCAGAGATTATCGAAATTAACTGAATCATCCTATAACTTACACATTGATGTATGCAGACTGGGGAATGAAAGCTTAAAGTCGGACTTTTAAACCAGTGAGTCACGCCTCTATATTAAATTATGCGGAATTGTTAGAAATATAAATATCTCATGTCTTCTACCTTCAAATATAAACACTAACTGATCACTGACTAGAGGTCAATGTCATGTTTGTCTACAATTTAGTGTAAAACGAATTAAATTGATCAAGGTATAATGTAGTTACTAGTATCAGTGACTTGACATTCCGTGCATTATTTTTCGATATTAAGTAATTGGATGTAGTTGACAGATCGCTCCGGACATAGGTCTCAAAAGAACGGGTTCTGTAAGGGTCGGTTGTGCACAGACCACATCGCGACAATACGGATCATCGTTGAACGATCAGTTGAATGGAACTCGTCACCATACATCAACTTCCGTCGCTATGAAAAAGCATTTGACAGTGCGGATAGGAGAACCTCACGGAACATTCTTCGACACAGTGGTGTGTGTAGCTGATTCTGTTTTTACAATTTGCATAAAACATTCAACAGTATCTCTAGATCCCAAACATAAACCCTTAGTCCTGGAACAAAACTTAATGGCACTATGTTTCATGGACGAACTAACCAGTTAATGCAACTAGGATTTTTGCATGAAATTCATTCATCCACAAGGCCACAGAGCATCTTCGCATTATAGCTGATATCAGTTCGTGATAAAACCCCTAACCTTAGACCCTTATGCTTACCCTAAATATCAAATTAAAACGAGGAACAATAAGGAACTCTTAAAAATCCATTTAGGTCCTTTAAAGAGTTCGTTTGAAAAGACGGTCGGTCCAGATTCATAATGACGAATTCATGTCGTTGCTTTTATGATTTAAAGGCAGAGAAACCTGTAGAAGACTTTAACACATTGATCAATAAATTGAAATCAGTTCAGTTAACAATATTATTATTTCCTTTTCTATGGGGTATCTATCTACAAAATCTGTTTCCTGATTGGCCAAAAACTAGCTGAAAATTAGTCGCCGCTTTTTAAACCGTCCCTACACTATACTGTTACTGAAGTACCTTAATTACAAAAATTACAGGAAAGAAATAGAAACTAATTATATCATTCCCCAAGATTTCATTTAATCGATTGTCATAAAACATGTTTTTTGAATAAAACTATGTAAACAGCTAAACACTTAAAAATAATTAGCGCATCGGTTTTGCAACATAATATCCTTATAAACAAAGATGGATAGTTGCTAGCAGTGGAATCCAGAACGCGCGTTTCGTCCTATTTAAGACATGTCAGCTGGAAGTACCTGCATCTCAGAGTTCATGTTCACTCTGGGACTCGAACCCCGTACAGGACATTTCATACTCCATCGTGTTATCCGTCTAACTGAGTCCTGATAGCCACTTGTTTGTACAATGCCGTGAAGTTTAAATTCACTTAGTATTGTTTACTTGAATCTTCCCATGGATGTTTAGAACTGCAATTGATCAGTTTCTTATTGGCATATATGTATACTGTGTGTTTGCCTCGACAATGCTTATAATGCTTGTAAATTAAGGCAATATCTAAGCAATACGCATATACAACAATAAAAGACTGATCAATTGCAGTTCTAAACATCAATGGGAATATTCAAGAGAACAAAACCAAGTAAATATAATATCTTTATGTTGTTATCAAAGTCGATTCAAAGGACACTTTGTTTTACTGATTTTAGAAAACCTGATTGGTTCAAACCATTCGTTTTATGCTTAGTTTTTATTCCCTATTAGGATTATCCTTTACACCCGCCTGCTTATCATCTTGATATCAATTTCCTTTTTTCTAAGCTGCTATAAAATATCACGAATGGATTGTTATACATCAGATTTCGAAGGTGATAGATCAGGGAAATACTACTATCCAATTACTTCAACAATTGTTACAGGACTGACGTTATCAGTCCGAAAATAAGTGGTGTTGTAATGTAAGGTCAGTGAATACCATGCTTCGAAGACACCTATGGTCTAATACCAATAACCTACGAATATCCCCATTCCTAATGACCATGTTTCACATCCATAAAGTGGAACGGAGAAGACTAGTGTGCAGTGAACTCCCTCTTTGCTTGAAACACAGATATCGCGCATACACTGAAAGTGACGCACCTTAGCGATAGTCAATCGACCCTTATGAATCCGTGACGAGATTCCCTCGGACACCACACCATCAGTATTGATGAGACTCTCAAGATAAGTGGAGCGGTAGATGCGTTCAAATACTTCACTTCCTATCATTAATTCGGGTTCTGATGCAAGCCAATCCTGAAGTGACATTCCGCACTTGAAGTGAGAGAACCCGATCAGGTAAAATCCATACCTAAAACTAATAATTGGCCAGTAGATGTGAATAGGACTTTAATTTCTCACTTTGTAAAGAATAAAATATTATCATTTTCTGACGAAAATTTGATTTTGAAAAGCCTATGAGATGAACATCTTATGAATGACAACATAAATTTAATCATAGGAATCTTTCAGATTTCTTTAATAGTTAGGAATACTATGCATGAAAGGTGTCAAAACCAAAAACAGTAGTACAATTTCGTTTCACCACCGCTTGATTTTAGCTTCAGACCACGTCATAAAGTACTTATTCATATTACAACTGTATCAATTTTATCAACACTAAAATTATTTTAAAATGTATACAGTGCAGTTACTATTTAAAGATACCTGATAAATTCTCTGAAAAAACCAAACAAATTGTGTAAAATTGAATACTGAAATAAAGCAGTCGTTCATTTTGTTATGTATAAATATACATACTGTAGAAAAGAGGAAGTTTCTGCGAAAATATTATAATAATCAATTGATAACACATACCATCTGTATTTTTTGCCTGTTGCATTAGTAAAGCTCCAGCTTGATCCCATTGCCATTCTAACAAATCATGCATTGTAGCTAATGTAGGTGGAAATGAATTATCCGATTTTGCTGAGATTGAGACTTTATTTGTAGGCGCCAATGGCGAGTCAACATACATTCCAGCTATATTATTTAAAACTGAACTATTCTTCGAATTACAAGAAATGCCTAAACCCCGTAATGATAAAGGTCGACGCGGTAGTATTAGGGGTAAATTTTCCTGAGAAGTTACAGGGATAGTGGAATCAGTAACGGAACTTTGGGATGATGTAATTAGACTATTCACAGCCGATTGATTGTTTGTTGTTGCTGATGATGACGGAGATGCTGTATAATCATGGCGATCAAGGGAAATTAAAATTAAACCATTTTGTGTAAATGGAATGATTTGTTCTAATGAAAGCAAGGTAATATTCAAAACTTTCATAGTACTATATACACCAACAGTTAATTAAATTAACAGACAAAAATTAAAACAATTAGTCCTTTTGATAAATGCAATGAGAAGACGAAGTTTATCAGAATTATGTGATATATTTGCGCAATACATTTCGAACAATCTGATCACACATATACTTGTTAAGACATTTTTATATGGAAATTAAAAGGTCAACTAGACATGTTAAAAGTAAGTCGTAATAAAAAAGAACTTATACTAAAGTACACAAGAACAAATGTGATTACCACTCTGGATAATAGATCAGTATTACCAGGGTAGGTTAAGTGTAAGAAAAAATTGTTTTTGAACGCATAAAGGGGGTTTCAGTTTCCGTATAGCCAAGGCTTCAATAAACTTTAGATACAACTTTGAAGGTTTTTGTATAACACCACAAATATTGACTTGAAGTCAACCTTATGACCAGTCTCAATCAAATGTTTCGCAATGGAGGATGATGTCTGTCTATCCTATGATCTTATTTGACCATATAAAAATGTCTTAACAAGTATATGTGTGATCAGATTGTTCGAAATGTATTGCGCAAATATATCACATAATTCTGATAAACTTCGTCTTCTCATTAGATTATCGAGACAAAAATTAGATAAAACTTTATTTCATAAGTTTTGCTTCAAGTTTTCCGATTAAATGAGAAACTCTGAAAAGTGAAACATTTGGTGTGTATAAAGTTATAGACAAAATATGTTGCTAATTTTTATATCAGATATACAATACCTTCTGAATGTATTCCAACACTAAGGCTGTGAGACCTATACACACCTGGTTGTGCATGGCTCATCAACCAGCGAATCATAAGCAACATAGGATCTGGCACAAATGTGAATCGGCCTCATTCGCAACACCACAGCAGCACAGAAATGAATACCAAAGTGGTGGTAGTAGATGTTGTAGTAGCGTGGTGCGTACTACTTATATTGACATAAGTAGTATATAACGACTGAAAGTGAACGCATATGGAGTCCTGACCTGGCAGGACGATGACGAGAATTGGGTGGCTGTGATCCCGAAAGACTGGCGACGTAGGATGATACATGAGTGTCACCAGGTAGCACATACAGGCATAGCAAGAACGACGGATTTATTACGACAAAGTGCATACTGGCCAGGCATGAGAGACGATATCGTGCATTATTTGTCGACGTGGCGTGGGTTGGATAAAGTGAAGAGGTTGTAAGTGTATCAAATAGTTTCATGGTATAAAAGAAAGTTTTACTGGACTAGAATCTGTCAGCTCTTCACGACTCTCTGGTTGATGTCCTAGAGACAGTTCAACATAATGGCTTGAGACGTCATCGCACATGGCTCAGAATAGAAGGCAGTGGCGGCTTTGTTGTAACTTTTACTTACTTTCTTCATAGTAGTGAGAGGAACTTCTTTAACTGAAAGATTCCATTTTGGTTGTATTCTTTTAACTGAACGCCTCTCATTATTATTATTTCACTCGCATACGCTAATTTCTGTTCATTATTGTTCTTTTTATTAGGCACATTTTACATTCTTTATCTCTTCACAACCTCGTTGTCATTGTGTGGCGCATATGTATATCCTAATGTCCCTTTGTACTAATGTTTGTGTGCTTGAATAAGTAAATAAGAGATCGGGTGGATTGTGATTAGTAGTAGAATCCAGGATGCGAGTTTCATACTATTTGAGACTACTTACCACCAAGATAATAAGATATGGACAATATTATTACGATCTATATACATGGGCTGCAATCCTTTATGATTGCATTTTAACACAACTAAGAACTTACTAAGAACTCGTTCTGTATCAATAACCTCAGCAATTTTGTCTTTACTTAAGTTTACATCTATTTTGATCCGTTTAACATTTGGGCAGTCGGTTGTTGTAGATCCAGGAGAGCGAGTTTCACTATAAATTTGATCTTTCTGTACTGTAGATGAGCTTTGATGACTAAATTCACTTTTGCATTCCGACGTAGTCCTCCCATCATTTTTTAAATCGCCTTGAGTGTTAATAATCTCATCTGTTCTGTTTGGATCTGAAGTATATGGTCGCTGAGAAAGACGCAGCTGAGAAGATCGGCGTCTAGGAGGTTGGTTATTCATTTCACAAGACAATTCAGTCGTAGGGGACTTACATCCTTTGTTAACATCAGTGCTAGTATAAATGAACAATATTGAAATACTATTATAAGTTTAAAGTGATTAGTTCAAGGGGAAAAATAGTAAATTTTCATTATCTAGATGAACTGAAAAAATGAATTTTATGGTGTAAATGGACACTAGATAACAGATTGCAAAGTTTAGAAATAATAAGACTGGAATCTTTTGTTGTATATTACAGCCCTATAAAAATTAATTGACAATACATGTGAACCTTTCGCAACCAGTGAAGAATACATATAATTCTTGCAAGACGGTAGGATTTATGTTAAGGTGTTCGGTAAATTTGATTTTTGACTAACATATTCGCGAGTTAACATTTATAAAAAACAGAAAGATTTCGTTCAACAGTCTAACAAAAACAATGCGATACCCAGTATTCCATTGTTCTGAAATGAAACTATGTTCGCCCTCCTCCTGAGACGAGCTTTCGACACAGTGACAGTCTTTGATCAGTCAACTACAAAGTAGAACATGCTACATTTGCACATCAGTTCAAGTCACTATATACCATTAGCATATATATGAAATTATAAGGCCAAATCTCACACTATTTAAGGCAGTAACAGTTTTAATGGTACTACAAAAGGTTACACATTGAAAATACTATTCGAGAGCAAAATATAAATTAGTGATATAAAAACCAAAGAAGTTGTAACCAATCGGGAATCGCAGAATATGGAGGAAGACAAACAACCGATACACCTGCGTCATTCCAAACAATTTCCACTCATGTCATTCATAGTCCACAACCATTAATTATGATAATCACGTGGACATTGCTAAGTCCAGTTTTCAGTCACTTCACGGACTGATCCATGTTTTGATTTGGCCGACACTAGCTTTCTTTCAGACTACACCTACCCTCGAAAACGTGGGTCGTAGAGGCAGACAGTAGTTGGACATGTGTTACACGTCCCAACCACTTCAGCTGATGAACACGGTAACAAATATTCCAGACCAAGTTTCTGTAGTTTATAATATCGGAGCTGTCTTATGTTTCTCAGTCAGCGGGAGCTTTCAACCCTAGATAAACGTAACTGCACATTTATTACTGATATGAACCAACACTATGTTTAAGCAGAGTTTTTATATTAACCCTGTTTGGCTTATATATATATATATATATATATATATATATATATATATATATATATATATATAAGAATAAATAATATCAGTAGTATGCAACAAACTTATTAAGCGTATGTTTTACGCTGTTAGGTCCCAAGAAAAATAATGAGTGGTAACTTTGGGATCCTTTTATGGACCAATACTAAACGTACATTTTTATCATATGATCGTTAAATAACTAAACTATTCATATTCATATTCCTCTTATTATAAACTTTATTTTGACCTATGAACCATTATTATACGTTTTACCATTCTTGAATTATGCTCTGTCTATTAGTCTCTGCCTCCCACATTCACAGCCACATTTGGCCAAATTTTGTACAAATGTTATTTTCTATTTTATGCTACGTTGTGGTCTGTTTGATTGGTATATAAAACTCAGTATGTTTGAAATATAAGGATTCATATTGCATAGGCTGAGCTTAACTGGCTGGGCTAGGCAGAAAGCAGGACCTATCAGTACTCTAGGCTGCTCGCGCCCTCGTTTTACGCGTCCTTGGTTCGATCGATAATTCGCTACTTCTGATTGGCGGCTTTGAGCATAGCATACGCTTACCCGTGAGAAATAGCAGGAATTGAGTTCAGATTGGAAGCTTCAGACATGAATTTCTGAAAATGAAAAATATGATTAAAAGTCTTTTTTCATGCGAAATAAGGAGTAATACAAATTTAAAAAAGGAAATAGAGGCTGATATTTAGTTTCATTTAGGCAAATATAAATGTGTCACTGGACCTGCATATAAGCACTTTCATTATCGATCCATGTGTTTAAAAAAATATACTTGGTTATTTTCGATAATTATATGAGTAAAATCAGTCATACTAACAACAGCAACAGAATATTCTATATAACGAAAATTATCGTCAACGTTGACGTTTATATCCATAATTAAAGATTCATAACCACGAATACTGGCTTTTCAGAAATGAAATGTCGTTACTAAAAAAACTAACTGATAATTGATGCTAACAATTATCTTTTTTAGAAATGTCTTAAAGTCCTATAACATTTCATATATACCCTGTGAATACATTTTACTGGATTTCACTCAAGTCAGTCAGTCAGTCAGTAACAATGTAGAACTTCGTACGTACGTATGTACATCAGTTCGAGTTGCTATACCACATTAGCCCAGAGATGCAGCTGTCGATTCAAATCCCGTTGTGGTACCGGTAGTAAGAGTATAAGCAGTAATCGGAAAGATTAGGGTTTGAAGATGTTATTTAAGGAGTATAATCCAGTGAAATAAATTTGGAAAGAGAAAAAAGAGAGGGACATGAAGAATTCAGAAGATCAGAATTTGGAAGAACACAAAGAGTGAATGCACCTGCGCCATTGCAAACGATTTTCAGCCATGTCATTCAGGGTCTCTAACCATCGGTTGCTATCATTTGATTCCACTTAAAGTTAAATTAACAACAAATAAACACAAGGTGATATTCTCATGTGTATTTTCAGTTAATTTTCATCATATAATAATCAAAGTAGACTAACAGATGAAGAGGGGATAAGATTTTAAATAGTTCAACTAATTAAAATACACACAAGATACCTTTTTATGCTGCGAACAACAAAAACCATTTAATTGATATCTATAAGATTGTTGTTCACAACTATGATTCATTTCTTTAGATAATTCAGTGGAATCATCTGATAAATTAAGCGGAGTTTTATTTTTATCAGTTGTCTTGAATAATATTTCGGCAATTGATAAAGATGTATGCGCTTCCGTTGCAGGTAACTCGCTAAGTAAACCTTCTGCACTAGCACTAGGAAAAGTGGAAAAAAAGCACAATTTATGTTATTTATTTATTATTATTTATTTGATCACATAAACATTGATATAAAGGGGCAACATAATAACAGTGGGGTTGTGAAGAGTTAGAGAATGTAAAACTCGTGTAATAAAAGAACAAAATTAAATTCTCCTACTATGCATTTTATTCACACAAAAGATTTTTTTGCATTTTCAATTTTGCTATAATACTATTCTATTGTGACTGAACAATTTACTGACCTTTATTGAATAACCTTTCTAATTTGCAAATAATACAATTTTGAAGTATATATATATATATATATATATACATAACATTGTTAAATTCATTAATACATGCATTATTTTTGGCCTTTGTAAAATATCATAATTATGGACTTATAACTGTAGAGCCTGATGATGAAGTTATTGAAAACAATTGTTCACTCAAATATTCTTCGTTTTTAAAAGAACAAATGACAGAAATTAGTGTATGATAGTGAAATAATAATAATAATAATAATAATAATAATAATAATAATAATAATTATTATTATTATTATTATTATTATTATTATTATTATTATTATTATTATTATTATTATTATTATTATGGGGAAAGCAGTTTAGTAAGCAAAAATATAACCAGAAAGAATTCTTTCAGTTAAAGAAGAAAGTTGAAATTTATATAGAAATATAGATATCTACATTTGTTTCGATTATTACGTTTACAAATAGAAAATGAAAAGATAACGAAATCACTAACAGCCTGATTAGTTTGTTGTTAATATGTCTAACTGACACAATGAGTGACATTTTAAACTTTCTTTAAGGTTATAATATAGAAATACTTAATCATCAATTACAGGTTCCTATAATCGAGATTAAGCCGTACTTATTATGAGTTATTCAAATATTAGAGATAGGTGAAAAGCTGTTTTAAGCAATAACAACAGCTGAAACTTAAACGTCCAAACTGCTAAGTTATAGCCTTATTTATGAAAGTCCCAGTTTCGTAGTATGTGATACCAAGTATGGGTTAGTAAAATAATGGATATCATACTAAACAATAGGTAATGTACAGTGATACGATATAGCCGACTAATAACTGGTCATGAAACTGACATTAAATGGCAAAACGATTGAGGAGTATGACAGACTTTTGAATAACAAAGATGCCACAAAGTAGTAAGTAGGAAACTGAGGTAATTTGAAATGCGCCAATAAAAGTAATTCTTGACTCTCCTGCTTTATTGTTGTCTATATTGGTTCCAACTACAGATTAGGAGTGAGTGACAGCAAATATGAACTTTTCAGAGGTTACTGAGTAATTACAACAACTGTTAATTTTTCCTCTTTTCTACCTAGTCAAACTTTACTAGTGCTTTTTGAAGTTTTATTGTTTACCTTTTTGTTAACCTAGACTGATACATTTATACATCAGATCAAATTCCACTTATTGGATGCCACAAATTGTATGATAAAAGAGAGCCAACTCTTTCTGTAGCCTTTCTAGGACTACTTGTGATCCCAAGTACGGACAAAGAAGGTTAGGATATGGGGTCAGTAGCCTCCTCTCGTAGAAACCGACCTTGCTAAAAAACGCCAACCAGAAAAACAAGCTCAAACTATGCCCTGGAAGTTGAAGGATCTTCATTTAGAAGAATTATGACGACTCATGGTAAAAGCCAGAATTCTTTGTTAGTCACGAGGCTGGTTTCCCTTCTAACAACCACAGCAACAATTAATATAAATTAATATTAGCGGAAGAAACAGTGGAAACTAATCAACCAATTCATATTCACCGAAACTGACTAACAGCAATACTTCAAAGTCTTCGGATTAGTTGTGTTCAATCAAATGTTTGTGACATTACGGTATATGTACCAAACATTTTAGGACGCAAATAGCTAAAGAAAAACAGCTGCAAAAATATCAATTCATCTATGTGAAAGGTGCTTGCCAAGTAAGTTACAAGTTATGGCATTTTCAATGTTCCCTTGTGTAGTCAACAGTAAATGTACATAATATTACGAAATAAATACGTCCCATTACACACAATTCATTAGAGAAACGTTTCATGTATTTGAACACCCACGATAACGTAAATAGTGACAAAAATGGGTCATGTTATAAGCACAAACGCCCAGAACGATAAATAAAATAAATAAACGTCATTTAATCACTATATCACAAAGTATAACATGCTATATTTACACATCGGTTCAAGTCACTATATACCATTAGCATATATATGAAATTATAAGGCCAAATCTCACACTATTTAAGGCAGTAACAGTTTTAATGGTACTACAAAAGGTTACACATTGAAAATACTATTCGAGAGCAAAATATAAATTAGTGATATAAAAACCAAAGAAGTTGTAACCAATCGGGAATCGCAGAATATGGAGGAAGACAAACAACCGATACACCTGCGTCATTCCAAACAATTTCCACTCATGTCATTCATAGTCCACAACCATTAATTATGATAATCACGTGGACATTGCTAAGTCCAGTTTTCAGTCACTTCACGGACTGATCCCATGTTTTGTTTTGGCCGACACTAGCTTTCTTTCAGACTACACCTACCCTCGAAAACGTGGGTCGTAGAGGTAGACAGTAGTTGAAAATGTGTAACACGTCCCAACCACCTCAGTTGGTGAAGACTGACTGCGTCATCAATCCGCTTCTCATCCTTACCTAGTAGCTTATTTTTAACCCACTCATCGCTCACTCCGTGGTCCAAAAATACACGAGTAATGCTTCGAAGACACCTATGGTCTGATACCAATAACCTACGAATATCCCCCATTCCTAATGACCATGTTTCACATCCATAAAGTGGAACGGAGAAGACTAGTGCGCAGTGAACTCCCTCTTTGCTTGAAAGACAGATATCTCGCGGTAGATGCGTTCAAATACTTCACTTCCTATCATTAATTCGGGTTCTGATGCAAGCCAATCCTGAAGTGACATTCTGCGCCTGAGGAAAGAGAACCCCATCTCAAACATGTTTTCATTGTTGCTTAAGATGGTCAGAAGACTGTGTTTTGTCAGCGTCTTCATCAAACAGAATTACATCATCTGTGTATTCTAAGTCAACAAGTGAATCTCGTGGCCGAAGGTCAACCCCTAAAAAGCCATACGATGAAAGTTTTGTAGTTAAAAGCATGCCTATGACGAATTTAAGTAGAAACGGGAAAACAAAACAACCCTGACAAACACCACTTGAAGTAACCAATTCCGATAGCAGTTCGCCATTAGCCCTGGTTCGACCAGCAGTGTTCGAGTAGAGAACCTGTACAAGGTTAATCTACTTCTTTGGGACGCCTTTGAACAACAGACACTGCCACAGAACCTCATGGTCAATAGAGTTGGACGTCGAGAAGTATATTCGTGTTCTCGAGTCTACCAAAGGGTGAATATTTGGTCTATGCATTCAGGTTCGAGTCTGAAGTCAGTCTGGTGTTTTCGGGTTTGTTCTTCACGACTTCTAGTTAAACATCGAAGTATTATTGAGGTTAATGTTTTAGACACTATATTGGGTAAACTGGTTCCTCTGTGATTGTCACAAGGGGATTTTTATCCTTTCTTATAGACTGGGACCAGTCAGAGGATTACGTCCAGTCCCCAGACTGACTGACTGAGCTAAAAGCCTAGTTGACCTGACTGCTAAAACTGGGTCATCAGGCCCTGCTGCTCTCCATCGCTTTAGATTACTAATAGCCTTTTCAACCTCACCAAGAGTTGGAGAACTTACATCACAGAGTTACACTTAAAATTAATTTGTTATAATAGGCTTGTTATTCTTATAATTTGTCCATCGGTTCGATCTCCTGAATTGAGACTGAGTGATACCCCCATCTTTTACCGAGATAGTTTCGCTAACACCTGGATTCTTAATACCTGTCTCCTTGATTCGTTTGAACAGTTGCACACTGTTACCTATTACTACTGTCTTCTCCATTTTTTTTCCGCTCCTGCTACCCACCATACAAAGCTACCTCGAGATGAATATCACTTTCACGGTCGACTATCTTTCTCTAGTTGTCCCTGAAAAATGTTCGCAACTTTCTCATTACTAAGTTGAACTCTAGGGAGTTTTCGTGCTGTGGTTTTTCTACGTCCAGTATGATGCAGATGTGATGGATATTACTAAACAAAATATGTGATCGTGGAATAAGATTTGGAATGTACTCTTGTTATAATATTAAAACTTACATAAAAGTCTACCCTTTATTCAATCAATAAGCAGACGATACCACCACTGCTTATAGATTCTAACCGTTTAGAGTTAATTACGCAATCACTATCTGTACTAACTGTCAAACTCTCTGTTTATCCGCCCTCTGAGTTGTTTTGATGTGGCTAAAAAAGCATATATAATATCCAGTTTCTTCTTTTGTTACCTCATTATGAATAGTTCACATCTTAATCTGCCGTAAGTTAATATGGAAAAATAGTAATTTTCGAACCGCGTGCCATAAACATTGTCTGTGAAACTGTGCCCACATTTTTCAGGATATACGTCACTTTTCAGTCTATGGGATACAGTCTTCACAGTGTCCTAGAATAGGTCTTACCAATTTTTCATGTTCTTGCCTGTCAGTAACCCCATATCTTAGTCTAACCTCCCTAACTTTCTTCCAACCTAATACACTGGTAATCATAGTCTGTCGGGGTTGGTGACAGTTGAGTATGCGTAACACATGTCCAACATATAGTTTAAATAGCCGTCTCAGCAGATCTCGAAGTGCGTTTCGGGAACTCGAATCTTTAGACCTGGCAGCACATGTGGAAAAAGTCGAGGACGAAGGATAAGAGTTGATAGTGGAAGCAGGAGTGTGTCGTAATAAAAATGGGGTTTGATTATAAACTAGTAAATCTCGCATTTTTTATGAGGTGTCAGGGTGGTTATCACCTCCTAACTACACACCTTAAAAGGATACTTTCTTAAGGTACCTAACAAGCGAACTGGATTAATAGCACTCTTAGCAGCGTGGAAGTGTGACTGAAGAACCCTGGAAGCAACTGAATGCACAGACAAGGCAATCCCGACCACCGCGTCAAAGTAGCAACTACAACCAGCAAAACACTTTTAAAAAGGCATAATTAGAACTATCATCTGCGATTCCGTCTGCATGCCTGCACTGAAATGTAACTCAGTGAGAGAAAAAACATGTCGTTTGATACAGAGATTATGTTTAAATAAAGAAACACTAAACGGACCAACACAAACAAAGTTTAGTCCGCGGGGACATTTGAAAGTATTTTATCGTTAAATTTTCATGTGTATAAGCAGCTAAATTATAAAATTCGACAATATTTGTCCGGTTACTTATTGTTGGGCTTAAAGTGGAAACAGACTATGTATCTATGGTGTTGCAGATTGTACATATATATCATCTCATATTCAAATACAATAACAAGACTTCGTTGGGAGTTCAATACCTTAATATAAAATTTTGTATCAACAGATATTCAATTATCTAAAAAAAATCTGTACTGATCTTTTTGAATTCATGAACTTAATTCTCTAGAAAATGTTATAAATAAAGCGCACAATTATTTACTATAGATAGTCAACATCCCCTTTTCTCTTATCAAATGAAATTTTATGACTAAATTGGTTTATAGATAACTGCGTGACATTCACAGAGGAAATAGTTAACTTTCCAGGCACAAATATAGAGTCAGTCAGTGGCGAGAAATGGAGGTCCGAATACATAAGTATTAATTCCCATGAGAGTTGTCACAGTTAATACCACTGTTAATGGACGATCACGAAAATAAACCTGATAAAAATCAGTCTGCAATCAATTAAATTTAAAGTCTTAAAACACCGCATGATATATAACTGCACCGGAGCAGTGAATTATCATTTAGTCAACCCTAGCTCAGTTATGGGGGCATACGGCTTCAAAGTCGAACCAAAAAAGAAACCATTATTCCAACATTTTATGCAGTAACATTAAAGGTATGCATTAAGGGAGATTCAAGCTATCACAGTCATTAATAGATAAGAGAACTGGATTTCAAAAAAGTACCCAAAAGGATGTGATCATTCAAAACCGGTAAAACATGTGGATTAACGAGTAGCTTCTACAGAATAGTCTAACTGACAGTACAAAAAAAGAGCAACAAAGAAAATCCCACGAGACAGAATTTAAGCTAAAGTAAGAAAACGGTCATTGCTTACCAAGAAACATGAAAGTATAAACGGCAATTTTTCCACGCACACTGGATACAAGCTCCGTAGTTCGCTAGAGAGCTTCGTTGATTTCTTTCGCAAAATATACACGACTTTAAAATATAAAAGTTAGAGGGAAATTTCAACAACAATTATTAACTATGAACAGTATCCATAGAGTTTAAGTAGTTATTCAAAATGTATTGTCAGAAACACTTAACTAATGAAATTTGTTATCCGTGATTGTACTGTGGTTGGTTATCAACCCATACACAGTTGAAAAGAACGGCAAGATCGAGATAGCACTCAAGGCTTCGAGCAGAGAAATTAGTTTAGTGAAGTGAATCTGAAACGATCGTGATGGTAGCGATGTCACAAATCATAGGCTACGCATTCATTTTATTAAAGTATAACCATTCAATAATCTTCCTAGTATTACCTTACTTTGGACGATTTTATGATTAACGTACAATTAAAATTTTTGACTAAAAATTCTGAAGTTTAAGAAACTAGCTAGTTATTACGAACTACAGTTCCGTTGAACTGTTAATTTAACAAATTCCTTCGCCTGTCTACAGAATTCCCTATCTTGAATCTATTTTCAATATTCTGATAAATGTGCTATGATTTTATTTAGAATAATACATGTTATGTAAAGAACAAAGCAATGAAATTCTTTATTTTTGAACATACTAAATGGCGAATTTTGTTAGAATTTACTGTTAGGAAGATATTGGAACAACAGTTCACCAGTTTATGCTTTACTTTAAGGTATGAATAACCGAGCAGCAGCACAAACCCTCAAAACTGTTATCTCACAATCCTGTCATACTCACTGTTGCTGAAAATAAACGGAATGAATAAGCTAATTCTTTTCCATAACTAGTTAGGGGCGGCCAAACCAAAACGTAGCATCAGTGCCTGAAGTCACTAACTTCTAGTCTGAGCCATGTTGGTAGATGCTGACTACGTGGTTGGGGTCCGCGTGACTATCGTAACCAATGGTTGGTGACTCTTGGTGACATGGCTCAGAATCGATCACAATGGCGTCGGTGTATGCACTCTGTCTTCCCTTAAACTAAGAGATTAAAATCACTTCATATGTTTCTTTCTACGAACTAATTCTTTTTTGCTGTACTATATCCTTATTGCAATCTTTCTTTTATATATTACCACCTCTGAATTAACTACTTTTATGAATTCGGTGTCCATCTTGTTATGTTATTGAGGTATGGCAACTTGGACCGATGCATATATGTGCCTGGTCCTACGTTGTAGCTGACTGACTGACTGAACTAGTACACCGAATCTTTCGAATAACAAGCGGGGTTAGATTACTAATGACTAAATAGTAACAAAAATGCACGCCAACACTTTTGATCACATAAATATAGATATTAAGGGACAGCCCTAACAAATTCTCCCTTGTCTTTGTAATAAGCCTTTAAAAAGTAGTAGTTATTACTGATGGTTACATTCAATTCTTCATCGAAAAAATGGCATAAAAGGATATCGAAAGAATGTCCCATACTACTATGATAACAAGAAACTGATTAAAAAGACATTGAGGATTGATTTCCACAGTCGTCTTAAAGTATTGCTAACGAACTCAACACAATTATAAGCCTACTTATTGTGAGAGAACTCTACACTCTAAAGTATTCATTTACCTTCATTATGAACATAAATCAGGCATATACATATTCAAAAGTCGTCTTAACAATGTTAAGCCACTCGTGATTATAAGTAAAAATAAGAGTCTGGAACTATATATTCCGTGAGATTATCCTGCCCTCGAATGCCCTGGTACGGCCGAGAGTGAGCAGGGTCCACTCTCCCTCTCGAAATGCTCCCACATGGCCACGCGTATATAGCCTCTGCCAGGGAAGTCATTCTCGCTACGAGGGTGTTGTTTACGAAGTTGAGAGGACGAAACACGAATGTCCAGCACTTTAACCGGGTTGGTGGATATGGAGAGTTCACCTAGGAGAGTTGGAAGACCCTGATTCCAAACCAATGATGTACATGGGCTCCAGTACCCTGAGGGAACAAATGGCGTATGAACCAACCGGCTACCATGGGACTGCATCTCCTTACATAGCTCCACTGCCTTGTGGGTCAGACCTTTAAGTCGAAGGCTTCGAGCGTGGTCTTCTAAGAAAACCACCCGCTTCGGTCTGGGCACCCGGGCAGTATCACAGCCCTCACATATATCAAATGAGACCTGTGTAGCGCATATGTATTTGGTGCCTCTTGTACCAATATCTGTGTTAAAATAATAAATAAGTAATAAGATTATCCTATACTTGCGCTTAACAAGCATATCGTACGGTGATATATGGGACTCGGATTTAGCATACAATCATAAATATTTAGAAAGATTGCAGTATATGGAGTAAAACCTAATATACCGACGACCTTGGACAACTTGTCAGCTGATCAGGAAGTGTCATCTAATTATAAGACAACTAACAACATGAAATAAGGAAATAACAGCGTTGATCGTAATAATTAGTCTTCGCAAGTCCAATTATCCCTTCCAATAAAGAAAAAAGCAAGTCAACATATATACATACATACTGGGAGTAAGGCTGGTAACTTTATAACCCTATGTGGTTATCACATCATAGTGTTCGCCACCCACTGACATCAGTTATAAAACAAAAAGCTTAGGGTTAGATACTAAGATTTAAACTGAAGTTTTAAGTTGAGTCTACAATTTGGAGTCAGGGTTTTCGACACGAACTGGCATAATTTACAATGCAATGCCTCGCCACCTTCCTGTTTACAAAGTTGAGAAACTTAGGGTTGAGATTAAAAGCAAGAATAAGAAAGGGATAACATTATTTGGCTTCACTAAGCACTTTATTACGTAGTGAATAGCATTACGCAATTAGACGCATAATGTGCCTTAGAAGCAGGTATGCCAAATAAGTTAGCCTAAGAACTATCTGAAGCTCACTTTATCGTCATATAGTAGATATTTGGTTGGTTTTAAAAAAAAGCATTCTAAGAACCAAAAATTGCCCGTTTTTACGTGGTTAACGATGATATACACGTTATCTATTACTGAACTTGAAACTTTTCGCAAGATAATTGGGGTACTGTCTTAATTCCGATTGGTTTACTTAAGGTCGTCATTGTATTGGACTTTTACCGTATATAGATACTAGGTTAATTCAGTTTTTTAGTTTTCGCCAGTTTTTTTGTTGACTACAAGTGATTTGATTATTTTTAGGACAGTTATCACGTGTCAAGCTTGATTTCCAGTGAATTTATACGGAAAACTATCTTGTTCATAGGTCACCATATAAGGAATACTTCGTGTGGTTCAGATCTGAATTTCTAATAAGACTAAGTAACAGCTAACATGTGGTACTACATATGAAAAAAGTCGCACACCGAGTTTGCACATGGTTAATAACACATGTTCACCACCACAGAAGCGAATACTTTGTAAAAATTAGTGGTGAGACTATAATATATGGACGCTGAAGTGACCCTGGGGATGGACACCTACTAATTAGGACTAAATGAGGGTTATAAAGCAGTTAGAATTATCATTTACAGTTGGTTAGGGTTAAAAATTACATTTAAGATTTTAATTGCAAACTGACATCAGCTATAATGCCAAAACCCTATTAAGCCGAATGTACCGATGAATTCCGCGCAAACATTCGTGACTCGTTATCTTATATCTAATTGGTCCGTCCATAAATTATAGTCTCGCTGTACAATCGATCATTATGTTACTCACCCGGCCAAGCCTATCAGGCATCACGTTTTCAACTGATATAAGCTCCATGGTGCTAAGATCAGTGAAAAATACTTCAGGTATGTATATTGCACAGATGATATGGGCCCAACCTGTCCTGGAATACATTCTGAATGAAGCCCAATCTTACCACATCGAACGCCGTTGCTGCGTTTAAATGCACCATCCTTAATTGGGCACAAATCGCAACGCTATTAATAAGTTTACATATGACTGTATCTTACGATTTTGCTCATGCGAACTTGCGACTCGCATTTCCTACAAAACCAGTTATTAACACCAGTTAGTTTCGGTACGCCATAACATCCCTGATGAACAATTGTATTGCAGTTGCCACATAAAATCAGAGAATTGGATGGATTTTGGAACTCCAAACTGCAAACACAACACCTCATTGGTGACGAATCTGAAACGCGCTCCCCATTACGTCCTTGTGGAGTAGAGCAGATTTAAAAAGATACTTTGAATGATGGTCAGAGTTACTTTTGTGATAGCTTTTCTTTTAGATTTTCGCACTATCATAAGCCGGTCATTTTGTTACACAAAGCTTCAGATTTCGTCACCAGATGATGTAAGCAATTACTTCTACCTCGAATTCAGCATAATAGTTTACATAGTTCAAATGGTCGTGGACGGAATAGAAGAAACTTTTGCGTAATGGGCTTCCATGTCTAATAGCAGCTGAGCAGCAATACTTTTAGACAGAAACCTAGATACGTTAACGATAATAGGGGAAAAAGAGAAATTCGTAAATCATAATAAGATGTTTGCCTTAGTCCTTAAGAAAAGTGTAGCGGTAAATAAATCTCCAAAATAAACAGCTCTGTAAGTTTTCAACATTGGGTGCTGACCATGTGTTTTAGTCGACTCATCTAGCTGCAGGCGCTCCAGATCACGTGTGGTAACGTTGTGCTCAACATCTACCCCAATCGCTAGCCAGATTAGATCAGAGAATTCCGATATATTGGTTATCGCCAAATACACTCTTCCGATCTCCTCGACTCTGTCTTTTGATTTCTCTTGGTGGGTACGCTTCATATTAGAAGGTGTTACTGGTAAAAGCGTTGTCAAACACTGAATACCTGCGCCATCTTCATTGGTGAGACCGACGTGATCTGGTAAACCTAATTGCAACTGCGAGTCTGTTCCTTATGGGGATCTTTTATGTATTACTTTTTAAATTTTTATACATTGTGATATTTTTCACCGTGTCTCAGGATATCCATATATTTTTCTCTCGTATTCTCGTACTTAATATTCCCCTATGACTGAACAGACCCCCAAGGTATTTAAGATTAAGACTATGTCCCCACCCTCGTTCCAACTCATGCCCTTCTGACCAGACAACATCGAAGCCTGGTTCTGCTACGCAGAAGCCGACTTCCACGAGCACGGCGTGATCGACGCACGTGCAAAATTTCCTCGCAGCAGTCAAGGCACTACCGCGGGAGTTCAACAGGTACGTAACACCTAGTATGTTTACTAGTGATGTTTCTGAACCGTACGAAACCTTAAAGCGTTCGATTCATAAACGAGGAGACTTAACCGATCGACAAAGTGTAGACCAACTCTTTAATAACATAGATCTGCAACACAGTTCTGCGACGGACATGTTGCAAAGGATGAGAGAGGTTATCGGCCAAAGAACCTTCGATGATGGCCTATTCAAACAACGTTTCTTATCCAAACTTTCTTATCAGGTGCAAGCTGTGCTGGTCTCGTTTCGAAACAACGCCGTAAACGAGCTGGCTGCATCTGCCAACCGCATCTTAGAAATCACGAAATCTTCTAATGCTGAGGTTTTCTCAGTCAGAGAATAGCGTCAAACGACCCAGAATGACATAACGCAGTAATGTCATACACTTACACGTTATCTTAAATTTATTAACGACCGTAAACCGTCACACACCCCACGTAGAAGCACTTCACGTAAGCGATCTGTTTCTAGACCACGAGAGACGGACAATCCCGACTGGTGCTGGTATCATAATCAGTATGGAAAGTCTTCCAGAAATCGCAGAAAACTCTGCAATTTTCCCAACTCAAAACCGACTGACTCGAAAAACAACTAGGGAAACTGCCAAGCCGGCACGCGTTAACGGCAACCGTAGCCGGCGAACATAGCCGTCTGTTATACGTCACAGATGTGACAACGAGAGTTCGCTACCTCGTCGACACTGGCGCAGAAGTTAGCGTTCTCCCAGCGAATCCCAACGACCGGCTTCTCGAATCGGCTTTAAATTTACAGGCGGCAAACAGGAAACCTATCGCTACGTATGGCAAAAGGTACGTTTACCTTAACGTGGGTTTACGCAAACCCATTAACTGGATTTGCGTTGTTGCAAATGTTTCTATGCCAATTATTGGTATGGACCTTCTACAACACCACAATCTGATCATCGACACTCGCAAACGGAGGCTAGTAGACGGAAACACTAATTTATCTCTTTGCGTAACTTCTTTTTCTGGTTGCAGATTATCCCCGGTCACAGTTAAGCATACGGTAGACCCACTCTATCAACCGCTACTCGATAAGTACCCTGGGATACAACAAACTCAACCGAAACTACCGTGTGTAACCAGCAATGTTACACATCACATCACGACTACAGGATCACTTGTATTATCCAAAGCACGACGACTAGCTCCTGAAAAGCTAAGGTTGGCGAAAAACGAATTCGATCACATGATAGACTTAGGGATCATACGACCATCAAATAGCCCATATGCATCTCCGTTGCACATGGTCCCTAAAAAGGACAGCAACGATTGGCGCCCAGCTGGTGACTATCGGCGATTGAATGCAAAAACCATTCCCGATCGTTACCCGTTGCCTCACATTCACGATTTGACAGCTACATTGAAAAGTACAACTGTCTTTTCGAAAATCGACTTGGTTAAAGCGTATAGCCAAATCCCTATGGTTACTGACGACATACCGAAAACAGCTATCATTACTCCCTTCGGACTCTATGGATTTATGCGAATGCCTTTCGTTTTAAGAAACACGGCTCAAACATTCCAAAGATTCATAGACGACGTTTTTCGAGGTCTCAACTTCGTACATGCGTATGTTGACGACTGCCTAATCGCAAGTCCGGACCGAGAATCGCATCCCCAGCATCTGGATCTTGTTTTCGATCGACTACAAAAACATGGCATTACTGTAAACATTCAGAAATGCGGAATCGAAACTGACTCATTAGACTTCGTAGGACACACTATCGATGCTCAAGGCATCCGAACCCTTAGAATCAAAGTGGCGGCAATTCTGGATTACCAAGAACCGACCACGATCAAGCAATTACGAACGTTTAACGGCCTTGTAAGTTTCTATAGACGATTCATACCGGAATGCGCGTTACTCATGAAACCTCTTACCGACCAACTTCGTGGAAATGCGAAATCCATTAATTTGGACGACACCGCACGAAAAGCATTTTCTACAGTTAATTAACTGATTGCTAAAGCAACAATGCTTGCACATCAGGACACTCAAGCACCCATTGGCATCGCAGTAGACGCATCGGACTCGGCAATCGGTGGCGTCTTACAACAATGGGTTAACAACTCCTGGCAACAATTGGCATTTTCCTCTAGAAGGTTGCTAGACACCGAATCGAGGTACAGCACATTCGGTAGGGAACCCCTAGCTATGTAATGTGCTGTACGGCATTTTCAACATTATATCGCAGGCTGTGAATCCACTCTTTTCACTGGCCATAAACCACTTACCTTCTCTCTAAGCTCTTCTTCAGACAAGTACTCTCCCGTGAGTCTCGACAACTGGACTACATTTCGCAGTTTACTTCAGACATTCAACACATTTCTGGAGCAAACAATACAGTTGCAGACGCCTTATCTCGCATAACTTCCTTGAACAGTTTCCAAGGAATCGACCTTCTTAAACTTGCCCAGCTTCAAAAAAAAGACACTGATCTTCAGCACGAGTTATCGACCACAGCTCTCAAGTCACGTATCAGACAGATGGAACAGGTAAGGAAATCTTACTGTGTGACACATCTACAGGTAGAGGTCGCCCAATCGTGCCGAAACGTTACCGACGCAATGTCTTCAATGCGTTGCACAAACTTTCTCATCCAGGTGTTCGTGCAATCATCAAGCTTATAGCAGAACGGTTTCGCTGGCCTGGCGTAAATAAAGACGTGATGAAGTGGGCACGTTCCTCTGTAAGCTGCCAAAAAACTAAGGTTATCAGACACAATAAATGTCTCTTCAACGTGAATCTAAGTACTATATAGTCGATAAGAACGGAACAAACGATAGCATCAGCATCGATCGCTTAAAAGCAGAGTATTTAGAAGGAAATCCTATTCACGTCGATTTTCCTTCGGTACAATCGTACAACACGACTCCTACACTCATAATTCCTCAACCGACAACCAACACTAGCGATGATACTCCGAATGTATCTGAAAATATACCTAAAACGACGCGTTCTGGAAGAAGAGTAAGATTTCCAGAACATTTAAAGGACTACTGCACGTAAGACACCACTCGACATTTTATATTATCTCGATCTTTCTTTTTACGATATATATTTTTAAAAAAACAATTTTAATATGCTTATATATTTTTATTTTTATTTCAAAAAAACAAACAAAAAACAAAAAATCTTTTTAACGCTATTACGTGTGCTTGAGTTTATTTTCCTTTTTTTCGCCGACACTGTGTTTTTACGCACATACGAGTGTATTTCGACATGCACTTACATTTGCTTTTTGCTTTTCCAGGACCGCTGGAAAAGAATGATGCAGTTTACGAGGAGCCGAAACTTTCATTGTACTTTTTATTTTTTTACTATGTTGTACCTCGGTCCCATATATTAAGGAAAGACGACCAGATGCTGCTAATCCTAGCAAGCTATCAGAAGAGTGTTTACCAACGACAAAGTCGTTGGGTTTAAAATTCTGGCTGGCCACGTCTTAGGGTCATCACTACCCCACTAGGGGGGAGTGATCCGGAGTGGTAAATAAATCCCCAAAACAAATAGCTCTGTAAGTTTTCAACATTGGGTGCTGACCATGTGTTTTAGTCGACTCATCTAGCTGCAGGCGCTCCAGATCACGTGTGGTAACGTTGTGCTCAACATCTACCCCAATCGCTAGCCAGATTAGATCAGAGAATTCCGATATATTGGTTATCGCCAAATACACTCTTCCGATCTCCTCGACTCTGTCTTTTGATTTCTCTTGGTGGGTACGCTTCATATTAGAAGGTGTTACTGGTAAAAGCGTTGTCAAACACTGAATACCTGTGCCATATTCAATAAGTCAAGATATAATAATAATAATAATTTATTCTCAAATAACAGTTTGTAACGTGAGGCATGCCAGTGTACAGGCAAGATCAAATTGATACAAATGATACAATATCCACTGTAGTAAATTACATAGCTGAGTTGATAATTTATA